TCAATCTCGGAATTAAACTCAAGAGTCTGGTAAATTTCACCGAATTGTAGGTTTCAAGTGAATTAAAGGTAGGTGTAAGGGATGAGAGGGGGAAAATAACTGAGTGTCTGTAAAAAGAACACACTTCAGTTCTGATGCATTACATGAAGCAATATCTAATGCATTAGTCTGCTTATTCATTTTTTTTAAATTTCATGATAGAAATTGGGCTGAATTTCAGGGATAAATAGAAGACTGAATCGTTTCATCCAGGTTGATTTTTTTTTTGGAGTAAATTCCTTACAATAAGATGGAAATGGTACATGTTTAAGGTTTACAATGTAAAAACAAAAATGCACTTTATTTTACTCATGCAATTCAAGGCAGATTAAAAAGCAATGGTTTCATCCCTATGATGTGGATGCAAATCCATTCTCGTCTAAAGGTCTGAAAATCTCTTTAAAAAAGGCGCTTGCATGAAATGAGCTTTACCAGTCTCAACGCTTAGTGGGCAAGACTCCACGGGCTATTAGGGGAAGAATGGAGGAGGAAATGTGCGATGGGGTTGCTGATCACATCATCCCCTGCTGGTGATGGGTTTGGTGATATCCCAGCATAGTGGTGGGTTTCCAGCTTGTGCCAGATATTGATGTATCCAAAATATAATGGAAAGAAGATTTACATTGCTGCCAGATCCTGCTATATCAGATCTGGAAGTTCTTGAGGTCAACTCTCGAATACCTAAAACAGGAAAGTGATGATGCCACATCACAAATATGCTTCCTTTTCATGAGCACAGCATTCAACACAAACATCTGGTTTTGCAGTAAGCTCCTCTGATCCAATTTCCAACTTCTAATTAACAGTAAAAGTATGCACAGTTAATGCAAGCCTCAAGCTATGATACTGCTGCTTGTATTTACCCATTTTAAGAAAAAAATTCTAGATAGTGAATAATGTGAATAAGTAAAATCTAATCCAGAAGCAAAGATGAATTTTAGATGAATAAAACAACTCCTGGGCTAGTTATGTAGATCTGTTACTGCAGCACCAAGTCTGTGGTGAACAAAATGTGCAGACATACAACTGTTCCTAGTAAGCTTGTACCAAACATGGTCCTCATTGCCATGTCATATCACAACCATACAATAACAAATAACATTCAAGTAACTGCTGACAGATTTCCACAGACCAGCAAGAAAGTGCAACACTGGTCCAAAGAGTGAGTTGGGAATATGTCTTATGCAACAGAAATGGTAGGTTATGCAAGATTTGCAGAGATCGGAACCCAATTTCACATTAATTCGCAACAAAAATGGAAAAGTATTCCATTCTAAAGAAACACTTAAATTTTCTTATAACAAAATCACTACTCCCATTACCTGTAAATTGCTTTGAGACATATCGAGGCACCATAAAAAGATATATTCCACACACATTGTGAGCATCAAGAAGTTACAAAGCAAAAATCCCCAATAGCTTAAAGATTTTCCAGTTAGATTTACCCACAAACCTGTTAAGTGAGAATCTGTTGTTCAACAGATTGTAGGGGTAACAGAAGCATTGCATATACAGTGCAAACTGCCCTGGTGGCCTCTCCTTCACCAGGCTTCTTCAGAATGTACTTAACATCCTTTGGCTGGTTAATTCTCGGTTGCTTCATTCTCAATCCTCTGGTTTGTTGATACATTGACAGTCTATTTATGGAGGGAACGTGCTGAAATATTTCCAATCCCTGGAAGATCCCATCACTTGTGTAGAATAGGGATACCTTTCCAATTAGACCTAAACAATGTAGGCATCAATGGCTATGATGTCCAGGAGATAAGAGTGGTTTCAAATCCAACACCCGTTCAGTTTCCTAAATGTACCAGGCACAATGATCAGTAATCCTTGCATTTTGTACAGCGCCTTTCACATGGGGAGGATGCCTTAAACTTAAAGCACATCAGAGGATTTACTGTAAAATATAATCAACTGAGGAATGTCACCCTCCAATTCAATTGCCAACATGAGGCTTGAACCCACAACCTCAAGAGAAGAGAGTGCTATGAACTGAGCCAGGCTGACATCTGATGTTACTTAGCTACATTTTTCCGCTGGCAAGCAAGTCTCCTGCTTACTTGAGTGTTCTGCCATTAAATTGCAGTTATTTTTTCACTTTTTTTAAAAAAAAATAAACTTTGCCCTATTTGATCTGCCCAGGGACAAACTGGATATCAATCCCAATTTTCTTTGACGTGGTTCCCAGGTAATCAAATGTTGGAGCCTTCCAAATGGTAATCAAATGCAACCTGAACATGGACTTCGCCTCTCGAAGGAGAGAACATTAAATCAGAAGCAATTTAACGCTACTAAGTCGTGATCTCTAGGTAATGATTCGAGAGGGAGGTATTTTATCCCCTTTCATGTGTTTGTCACATCCAACCTGCCTCAATGTTCGTGTTCAAACCACAAACCCCATTTCTGCCCATTGGGAAATCTACCCACTTTCTGAAAGAGATAGATGGCTCATGATCTTTCTACATTTGGTTAGATTTCCTTTTGTACTTGAATCATTCATTATTGTGTTCAAAAAAAAGTTACCTGATATAATTTTACCGTTAACACAGTACAATGACACCTGAAGAGAAATGAAACTTTTTTTGCAAGAGAGGGTTTCTGGCCAAGACAATTCTCAATTATTCCGACTAACTCCACTCCATTAGTCGGGGTGAAAGGTACATTTTTTTTTGCTCATAAGTAGCACTAGTGCTGTTCATATCTCGTGTGGTAATTGGACTTATGGTTCTACAGTGAATAGATACACTGGGCTGTTGGTTTGAAAAGAAATCCCAGTTGAAGAGAACAAAGATATAGAAATCAGGTGCGCCACCTTCTGTTAGAAAATAGATTTTTTTTCCCCCCCTCCCCAAAAGTCAAGTTAATTACTTTCTTATTGAATACAATTCAAGTTATTATCTCTGTAACTCAATGGACACATTCATAAGCGGGGATTGCACTTGATGTGTAGTCTTCGCTGGTCACAGTCAATGCAGGGCTATGAAGGTTATTTCTTTGATTGAACCATTAATCGAGACAAAAATAAATAAACAAACAAACAGGTGGAAGCAACCAGCAGAGAATGAGGTGATGGGAGTAAAACTTGGAATATTGATAATGCTGAGCATCTCTTAACACACAGGAGGATGTGATCAATCTCACACACCACCAGAGATATGAAGTGGTCCACAGGGCTGATTTTAACAAGAAATAAAGAATTGAATCATAACAAGAGAGTGAATCGGTTGGGGACTGTGGGCAACGGATAAACTTTGCACAACAGGAATCGGTAGGTTAGTTATCACATAGTCAGTCAGGAGCTTCCAAAGGGGACTGACTCACACTCAGGGGAGGGAGCACATTGCAACAGATCCAGTGAAGCCTAATGGTGTTGCTTTAAACTAAGGTGCAAATACATTGCTGTGTATAATTTCAACGAAAGGTGCAGGTTTATGTATTGCAATGTCTGGCTAGCCCATGAGTCCTTGAAATGCTTGGAGCTCGCAGATCAAATGCTTCTGAACTCTTGCTTCCATGTGTTGCACAGGACTGATGCTATATATATATATATATTAAAAAAATTGGAAGGAAGCCAACATTCCCTGGATTGGATAAGTGAGCTCCTTGTGGAGACTGAGTACTGCGAATGTAGCTTAATAGAGGAGGGGATGGCATGCTTTACTGGAAATCACCTTTTTAAACCATCTACACCTATATATATTCTTAAGGTGATTGGTTAAGATCACCCATTGATCATGTATATTATACATAGATATAGATACACACACACACACACACAACAGCAAAAAACTCACACAAACACAACAGAATCCTGAAACACCAGAAAGAGACAGTTTTAAGCACACACCACATTGCACCCATCAGCAGCTGAATTGATTTTAATTGGGGGGAGAGACGATGCAGAGAGTGGAGGAGCCATTGGTAAGACGCACTCTGGAGCAGGTCAGAAAGTACAACTGGGATCCAGTGGTCGTATTTCTTTATTTAAACTAAACACAAAGCCACGCAGTTCATCAGACTCTGCAGCTCAGATCAATGTTACACGTTTTGCACCGTTGTGACTCTCTCACTGTTTTAAAAACCACCAACGACACTGGATAACGTTTTGCCCATCGTTTTTGTTTTTTTTCCCCTTTTTTTAAAAAAAAAACTCCCCTTTCTCATTTTACTAGTTAATTCTTTCAATCGAGGAAAAAACACATCGTGCAATGTTAAGGGCGTTTTCCATTATTTATTTATTAACCCCTCCCCACCCCCCAAAAAAAACACATATGCACATTTGCCAGTATTTCCAATTTTCTTCCTTTTGAGACAAGCAAATCCACACAACCTTCCACCTCTTCTCTCTCTCTCTCTCCCCCCCTTGATTGACAGCAACAGCAGGTTTCCAAAGGGCTCTGTTACAGTTTCTTAGCAAAATGACTTCACGAACAGGGAATTTCAATGCTCCCAAATTAAAAAAAAAACAACTTTTTTTTTTGCCAAAAAAAAAACAAGAGGTGGAAATTCCCTTCTCTGAACACAGCAGATCAAAGTAGAGAGAGAGAGAAAAAAAAACAACAATTTAACTTTATTTTCCCCCTTCTTCCAAAACACCAAGATCCTTTGACAGATGGTTCACAGGGTGGGGGGGGGGGGGGGAGAATAGGGCATTTACCAGTGAACAGCACTGTTTGGTACCAATCTGGAGGTAGCAAAGCAACACCCTTAGCTTTCCACGTTAAGTTGATTTGGCTGCACAGAATCCCACCTGATTGCAGCAGCAATCTCAGATGCTCAGTAACAGCACAGCCCCACACACTGATTTCAGTATCTAAGTGTGTGCATCTTTTCACTGATGGGAGATAGATGCTTATTTTTATATAAATATATATATAAGAAAAAAGATGAACAGGGGAAAGGGAGGAGGGGGGGGTTAGGGGAAAAAAAAAAAAAGCATTTCAATCGTCGTTTCTTACCTGGAAAAGGACAGCCAGTGTGAGCTGGGTTTTGTGCTCCATGTCTAGCGACTATAGTGTCCTGTAGATTTCATTCATGCGCTGAATACCACAGTGCATATTTTTTTTTATATGGAGCTGAGCTGGAGGCTGGTTTGAAACCCAGCCAACTTCCCAAATAGATCTGCAGCATCATCACTAAAGCACTGGGCGGCTACTTGAGACTGGAGCCAATCGCTTTTCAGAGGATCCCCTACAAAAGCCCGAATATACTGTGTGTGTCTGTGTGTATAATCACAATAATAGGGCAACTATTAACACTTTGGAGGCGAAGAGAACCACTCGTGTCCAATCTCTCCCCCTCCATCCCTCACCCCCAGCATTCATTTTCATATCACAACTTGCAACACTTTTAAGTCATTTCAACTTAATTTCATTTTTTTTGATTATTTTCCCATCTGGATAATACTGTACTGCAAATATATACATATATATATATATATCGATTTGACTTGTCCTGTGTAAACTAATCATTGGAACTTCTTGCTTTCTTATCTTGTAATTGGCAAACCTGGTTGTAAGAGATCTATGGTATTAATAATAACGCTGATAATGTCTGTTTCCAGCAGCACTGTAACCCTTGCCATCCCGACATTTGCAGTTCCTCCGAAGGAATTGGCATTGAAAGGGTGCGGTGGTGCTTTGAGAGGTGATCGATAAACGTCTTCCCACTGCGTTTGGTTTCCATTGCATTTGAGGGGTTGGTTAACCAGTGCAATGCTTGTGGTTTTGCTCTCCATCCTCTTAAGAAATTAGTGGCAATGACAACCTTATGGGAACAATGGAGCAAAAGGCGCAGTGTGTGTGGTGTGTGTTTTGCTGGTGATCGTTCCACTTTCTTAATTTTTTTTAAGAAAAAACTGGAGATCACAAAAAGATGGAAGACCACGTCCCTTTCATTATAGGCTTTCAGTACATACAGTTCCTTTTTTTTTTGATTGCATTTTGCTGCCGAATTGTATTCCAATCACACAACGTGCCGTCTGCATAAGAATGCATCTTACATTTGCTGCAACTGTTCCTTATGCAGTCCAACCAAGAGGTGGAGTATCAACTCTTTTTTTTGACAAATACTTTCAAAAATCTACACTGTATATATATGTGTGTGTGTGTGTTGGTACAGTGGACTCGTGAACATTTTTATTTTTAGGTTTGGTCCAAATTGATGTCTCCTTTGCCAATTGTTGACCATGGGTAAAGGTGTGTCTGCAGGTGTCCAGATGTCTCCAGTTGTGCAATTCACCAGTGAGAACGATCTCGGAATGACTGCAATGCCTTTCATTAGTTGCAAATTACACAAGTAAAGGTGCAGTCAGTGCTTTCTTCATACCTGGATTTGCACACAATTGAGGCAAGCTGCAAATTAGACCCCATTTGTAATGTGCATCCTCTCGAATTTTACTTTCTCTCCTCAAATTATATGCCAAGTGATTGGTGTCATTTTTTTTTGATTATTTTTAATATATCCTTTCGTTTGCTAATATACCTTCACGGCTTATTTCGTTTTTATTTCGGTTACTTTGGAATTTCAAACTCTTTTAACTCATTCCCGCAATTCGTCATTTCGTTTCTGTTTCAGGTACCCAGAGAGAAAGAAAAAACTTTGGAAGGAGCTGGTTTTCTGACTGACAGCCATTGAAACACATGAGGGTAGCAATGGAAGGAAGGCCATATGAACTAAGGTGAACAGCGTGAACAAAAAAAAATGTGGTCACTTCAATCCATGACTGTTTGTGGGACACTTCGGTACGCAATTGGCTGCCGCGTTTCGCCCACAAATATTCAGTCGATTCACTTTACAGTTTATTCTGTGCAGTGCTTTGAGACGTCTAGAAGATGCGAAAAGTGCTATATCAAATGCAAGGATTATTATTATTATTATATTCTGTGAAGCACTTTGAGATGTCTCAAAACGTGATAAGGCTCTATATCAAATGCAAGGATGATTATTATTATCATCATTATTATGTGGAACAAACTCTCAGCAAAGGTGTTGGAACAAGAAAGTACCAAAAGTTTCAAAAAGGAACTAAACAAATTCCTATCAACCAAAAAGGATTCAGTCATTCCATTTAGCAATTGAGAATCTGGTGAAAATGGAGAATTCCTCCTGCCTGGATTTGTTGCCAAATTATCTACATGGGATTGCTGTGTAGTTCAATACATTTTTAGAAGGGAATTTCATAATTCCAAAACGTGTCACTTAATCTGCAAGCAAATCATGCATCCTTGATTTAGGCAGCGTAAATTAAGAGTTCTTTATAAAAATCTCACCTTACAGCTCAAGGAAATTTGAGCACTCTGTTCAAAATGTCTCACTTAATCATCTTGCTAGAATCACACTTTGAGTGTGAATAATTCACATGGATAAAGACCCGTGTAAGTATTTTTTGGCTGTGCTTCAAGTCGATAAACTATTTGCGATTTCTGATGCAATCCTTCTGCATTTTCCAGATGTGTCAAATCCAACGTTTTTATTTCCAGAAACCAACGCTCTTTCATGAGTCCCCAGTTGAGATATGTTCACTCAGCTCTGCTGCGTACAGTCCTGAGGCCATAACCATCAGTGAAGAAAACACTGACAATGCACAAGGAGCAACGCTTGATCTGCACTTGCAACACAGCAACACACCAAGTTCCACATCATGCTGCTGAACAGTAGCAAGAACCTTCCACCATTGTTTGATCATCTCAAAGGTGTTGTGAACAAGGCAAACCACAACGGCTGCAAGAATGCAAAAGGACATATCCACCACATGAGATGGATCTTAGCTCTTCAATGCCCAGAACTAATGTGCATACATATCAACTTGCAGGTTAGAAACACACTAGGACAGACGCTTCTAATGGCTGGTTCAATGGCTAAATACAGTGGTGGTATTATGAGGCAATTGTTGGAGAAGATTAGCTGGCTGATCAATCTGTTCACCATTATTGCTACAAAACCAGCCATGCACCTCCACCCTGCTCCAGGGTGTTGCCGTTCACTTGAGAAATTTGTCCGAGTTCTAAGGTCACCATCCATCTATCCATCCATTCGTCCAGGTCTTCTCTGGCCCCAATCCAGAGTATTACCCTGTGAAGGATCTTTCTTTACATCTTGTTTTTTTCCAAAACTCATTGGCTTGTACACCGCAAATCTGTGAACGGAGAAAATCAAATGATGTTTGCAAACGTCAAACATTGACTAAATGTTTTTCTGGATTTTGGAATCACGTTTAATGATACACATATTGCTCCAATACTAACAGATATATTGCCTTGTGTCAGATCTGGCACATATAATACTGTGTTTATTTGTCCAATTTGTTACATTTATTTGCAGGCACTCATTTAAGGTAATGAAGATCATTGATTTTCACATTTGGTATATGTTGCAAATAAATATTTTTCTTACCTGGAAAAAATGTTCTTGAAGTAAATGACATTTTATGACATTTCCCGAATGTCATATTTTCCCCTTCCATACCAGTATTTTTCAAATAGCAAATGAAGTTTCAGGATGTTATCTCTTCACTTTCTTCACTTTAACCCTATGGCCTTTGGACAATTCATTTGGCACTCTTTAATTCTACACATAATATATTCAATTAGGAGACACCTTCACTTTTCATAAAAGGAATGTTATTTCCTGCATATCAATCATGAACTTGTGACTATAGCTAATTTGTACATTCAGAACAATGTACACATTAGTTATAGACATGCATTAATAATTAATTGATGCAAATAAGGTTGTTATACGGTATTGGAGTGTCAGCCAGGCTCAGTTGGCATTGTGCTCCTGCCTCTGAATCAGAAGGTTGTAGGTTCAAGCCCCACGTCAGTACTTTGACTCACACAGTGAGTTTCAGCGCTTTGGGACGTCCTCCTGATGTGAAAGGCGCTCTATAAATGTAATTTTGTTGTTGTTGTTGTTGTTGTTGATAGTGCAGGCTGACACTTCAATACAGTGCTGGGGGGAGCACCTCATTGTTGGAGGTGCTGTCCTTTGGGTGAGATGTTAAACCACGGTCCCATTTGTTTGCTCAGGTAGATGTTAAAGATCCCATGGTACCATGGTACTATTTGTAAAGAGAAGGGGGCTTCTCCCAGTGTTCTGGCCAACAATTCTCCACATAATAATGATCATTTCCTTCATGGCTGTTTGTGGGACCTTGGCTGCTCCATCTATAAAATACAGTCACTACACTTTATAGTAAATCCTGTGAAGTACTCTGAGACACCCTCCCAATGTGAAAGGTGCTATACCAAATGCAATTACTTATTGCATTGTGGGTGAACTTGTCACTGTCAGTACATAACAGCATTGCAGACAATGATACAGTATTCTAACTGATAGATTCTGTCAAATATTAAGCAAAACAAGAATTGGCTGAACATGAGTTCATATTTAACAGTTCACAATACACAACATGATTTGTGTTAATTGGACTCCCATCCTAATAGTTAGATTGATTAATGTTTTTAGCTATGATACTAGTATTAATTTTGCCCCTTATCCTATTAACATATTGTGCGTGTGGTTGTAAAAAGGAATAAATTTACTGTCTCATGGATTAACAACCCAAAGTTATAAAATGAAGGTATAGTTTATAAAACCATTTTTATAGTTTTTTGGCCATTCTCCCAAGATAATAGCTTAGAATTTTAAAGTTCAGTTTTGAAATTACAGATCATTAATGGAGAATAAACTGGCATTTGACTAGAACGATGTGTGTTGTGCAGTCTCATTATTTTCTTCTTTTGGTTAACATTCATTATTTCATGTTTTGCACTTGTCTAAAGATGTGGTCCTTCTGTAACGATTCAACTTTGGTATTTGTGAATATTTGCTTTCATTAAATTTATTCAGGGTTTGTCAGTATTAGTGAGACATGCTTTAAATGAATCATTTCAAAGGCAAGTGCTGTAAGGTCATCTACAAGACACATAGGGTCCTTTATACTGTAGGCAGAGATTGTGTGGATCGTGCAATAACTTTGCTGAGTAGGAAAGCACCTGTTGCTTCATATGACAGTGGCTGCATTGGGCCATAGTTATGAGAAGTGTAAATAAAGACACAGTATTTCTTTGTTCCAAAA